ATAGATACTTACACTGGACTTAGGCCCTTTTCCACCCAATATGGGAACTTCCACCTGTGGTCTCTTCCTTTGCTACTGTGGAAGGTTCGATAGAGCTCTTCTGGGGCTGGGGGGTGGGGAGGAGAGGTGACTCTTCTATTTTCTTCACCAGCCAGTTAGGACATTTCCACTGCTTTCTTCAGCTTGAAAATGTAGGTAATAATTTGATGTCTGACTATAGGTCATGACCCCCTGGAATCAAATCTTAAAAAACCTCAAATTCCTCTAAGGATGTCTGCCTGCTTTTTCAAGGGCCCAGAGGACACTCCATATAGTTGCAGCAAGCTTATCTAATAGTAACATGTAAATGTGAAGAAACCCACATGCTCCCTAAAGAAGGAAGGTGATGCGGATGGGGGGAGTGGAGGCACAGTCCCATGGGCAGTGGTCCAAGGCTGCTCTAGTGGTGACCGGAAAACACTCAAAACAGGAGGGAACACCTCACTGATTTACGAAGGAGAAAAAACCAACTTTTGAATTTGTCCCCCCAGCATCTGCTCCTCCAACTTTCCACTAAAAATTTTTTGTCAACTATGGACTATGGTAAGTTTGCTAATTTATCACCATCTTCAAATGTTCTTGGTCGTGTTGACGGAGATATATTTTTAGACAGTGATCTAACTGATAACACTATGCTACAGATGTCATAGCTGAGTGACAATAATAAACAATCTAGTGTTTTGGTAGATGGATAATTACAGGGATTCCCTATTCATTTCTTCTTGGATTTTCTTGTCCATTGCAAATAATTTGGTACCTTGTCAAAAATTCATCATAGGACACATACATCCTTACACCTCCAAGGAAAGAAATCTTACTGTCTTGAAGATTCAGTGTTGACGTCCTGTTTTTCATTCAGATTAGTGTGGTTTTGATTTTCAAAGCTGGCACTAAAAGTTTTCAAGTTATAAAAAGGATTCCAGACAACAAGGTCCTACTGTATAGCACAGAGCACTATATTCAGTATCCTATGATAAACCAAAATGGAAAAGAATATTTTAAAAAAGTATATATATATAACTGAATCACTTTACTGTACAGCAGAAATTAACACAACACTGTAAATCGACTATACTTCAATTAAAAAAGAAAACGATTCCAGGTCTGAAATTGGTAAGTACCATCTTAAAAGTATCTTCAGTAGAGGCCTAATCACTACTTTATTTCAAAACACATTATCAAACCAACTTTAGAGCAGCCTCAGACTTGTGTTCGTTAGGCCCTGAGGGGATGGGGGCGGGGTGGAGGCTGGCCGTCCCAGGGTCCTGAAATTCTATTAGTATTTTAAATGTTCCTAAGTAGGCTATGTGACTTTGAGAGAAAGGTAGTTCATTGCTTTCATAAGCTTCTCAGAGGGGCCCTTGGTCCCCTCAAAAGATTAAGAACCTGCTTTTGAATATCAAATACTAAATTCGGGTCTTAGCAAATAAAAGTGAAAGATTTCTGAAACATTTGGAAATTACAACGTTTTCATGTTCAGCTAGATCTTGACTAGACCATGAGTAACCTGAAAGCTTTACTATTCTGAATTCCCTGGTCTAGAATGTTTATTCCTCAGGAAATCATTTATATTGTAAAACTGAGTATCAAAACTGAAGAAAATAGCCTAATATTTGGGCGCCTAACAACTGCATATCTTTCCCACAAGTTTACTAATGAATTCCTTTAAAAAATATCCAACTTAAATCCTGCTCATTTAATTTAGAAAAGTGATAGCTGTTCATGTGATACTGAAATGGAAGCATCATTTGTCTTTTTTTTACACATATAAAAATCAAGGAGATGGGGTGGAAGAAAGGGTACTATAGTATTTCCATAGAAAAGAAAGGTTTTCCACAGAAATTCTCAAGTTTAAAAATGCTGCATTGAAGTTTTTTTATAAGAAAGATATCTTCAAAGATTTAAATCTTGGATTAAAAATTTCCTCTTAAATTGAAACGACTCAAATTTATGAAACATGAATGGGGGAAAGTGTGCTATTTAAAATTTTTTGGTGTGTACAACATGTTTAGCTTTTTATTTTGTTTTCTAAGTTTGCTAGCTTTATATTTTCTCTTGGCACATTCAAGCATCCTGCTTTTTCACAATTTGGGCTATGTGTCATTAAAAAGATGAGCTTATTCTGAAAGTAGCCACTGTATATGAAGAGTGCCTACTTTTCAAATGGGCTAACGTGTATTCCTTAGTACACAAAGATACATGAATATGCATTTAAAGCAAAAGGCATTCTGCACCGTGATTATATAATACACAAAGCTCTGCTTTATGCATTTACTTACGAACCCACAATTTTCCAATATATATTCACAGACCACATCTTAAAAACTCTAGGCAAGCCATTATAGTGCACTTTTATCTATCAGATGGAATATATGAAAAGAATACAGAGATTAACTGTGGCAGGTGCACTGATAAGCCTCCAGATTCTGAGGATTTTGTTTTTTTAAGTAGCGGTAAAAACGCAGTAGAGAACTTATTGCAAGGTGAAAACTTTTAAAGACCTTTCTGAAGGAAACTTCTCAGAGGCTGTGTTAAAGGCTATTATTGGAAACTCCAAAAATTCAAGTGAGGTTACTGATGAAAAATAAAATAAAATGTTCAGGTCACCATAATTGGCAGCTCTGGTTTTAGAACTAACCCCAGAATTCTACTTTGAAGGCCAGGAGACCTCTTGAAATGGCCTTTATTAGCTATTAGTGGTGCTTGGTGGAAATGGTCGGGGTCTTGAGGGCACTAACATGGCCTCACAAATATTTGGTGCCTGTAGTTTCCATAGCTGTTTTAAGGGAGAGGGTGGGAGGAACATTACTCTGGTTTCAAGGGGCTCAGGACCGCTATAAAAGGGGTCACCTCCTAACCACCCCCTACTGGGGTGAAATCCTGAAACTGCCCTGGGAAGATAAGGGAGCTCTTGGCAGATACCGAGGTCAGTGGTATTGGGAACTGGCAGCTTAATGCCCTTGGCTGAAAAAATGACAAAATTAGAGTAAGGGAGCATCTCTACAAAGGAAAAACTTATTTCTAGCTTAATTTTTAAATAGACTCGGTGAATGCCCCCTCCTCAACCATTATGCAAAAAGTTTAGGAACCAACACACAGTTAAGCTACTTATATTGCAGTAACTTAGGACTTAATTATGCTATAGGATAGGATAAAAGCTTTGATCCTTAAACATTAAACATTGCATTAAATGGTTTAAAGGAAGAGCCTGCTTTGAGCTGTGCTCGTCAGTGCAGAGATTATACAATCTCAGCGCTCTAACTAAATTCCTAATGTTTACCTAACGTACTGGTAAGCCTCCCACAGAAGATGGGTCTCTTGGATTTATACTGAAATATATAACCTTTTCCCTTCCATATCATACACAGCAGAGCTTACTCTTGAGGCAGGAGCCTAGAAAGTCTAAATCAGGCACCAGAACCTTAATTTTCCAATGGCAGCAACGATCACGATTCTCTTCTCACTGTGATCACCACTGACAACCGCGGATGCTAACTGTAACTCTGGAAGTAGGCATCCTGAACACAATTTTGAAGATCCACCGCAGACAAAAGACAAAACCCACCACACAGTCAGTGGTTGATAAAAGTATTCAGGTAACCACATTTCACAGATGATTTCTGTCCTTCATCTATTCTCACTTGGGCAGAGATGGAGGCAGTGAGCGAACAGCAATAAGGCAGCCCAGGGCCAGCTGAAGAATGGCTCACGAAGAATGACAGCGGCAGCAGGTCTATCCAAACATAGCCTCAAACCTTCAAATATCGCTAAAAGCCTCTGTGAGGCTCTCTGAATTGCATCAACGAATGAAGCTCATCAGAGAGTGATAGTCTATAAGTCAAATATCTCTCTGTGTCTGTGTAATATATATGCGTATCTGCATATATTTACGTATATGGCACACATATTCACTTAGGGGAAACAGCCTGGCAATTAATTTGGAACTCAAATGACATGGTTACACATAGATCATAATTTCTAAACACAATGTTAGTAAAACAAAATTTATTTGTAAAACAGGACCTGTTATATAAAATGGCACACAATCAAGTTATACAAAAATACAAAATTTCTTTCTGATTACAGTTCTAGTTGCAAATGATAATTAGAAAGCATTCCTGGTGGCTTCCAAACAGCTGAGATTGCGAGCATATGGAACAGGGAGCAGCAAGAGTCCATGGTGCTGGGATGGCCAAGTGAGTAGAACCTAATTTCCAAATTCAAGAATTCCACCAGGTCACTTTGGAGGGACACCTCCTAAGATAAGTAGCTCCTGTAATGTCTTCTGTTTTGATACCCATCTTCCATACTTTTGCCAATCCTAAATTTAGTTCCCAATGTTTCTTAAGGTCCACAATCTGTGTGGCTATGAAACAGAAGGTAGACTGAATTTTCCTACCTGATTTGCTCTCTCACCTATTTGGATAATTGTTAGTTACATAATTATATTTATTCCATTTCAAATGATATAAAAGAGTACAATGATCTCGTTTAGTGACATCACATGTTAGAATGTTAACTTCTGAAGAATTATTGTTTCAAAATAGCTACTCTCACAATATTGTTTTCTGTGATCTTGCCAAGACGTGAGCTCCTGTTTCTTTAAAAAAATAAAATAAAATAAAATTCCGGACTGTTATTGCAAATATTCTGAAAAATCAGAAATATTACATGAGCTTTGAAAAGAAACCGAGGCATTTAGCAAATTTTAGCCTAGCTAGAGTAAAGAACACGGATACTTAAAAAAAAATACAATTTACCTTTTGCAGCAATTTAAAGGTCCAACCCTTTGAAAGGAAGCACATTAGCAAACAGCTGCTTATTAAGCCCTAGTGACATTGATTGTACACATTTCCATAATACCGGTCTAATTCACTGTCTAATTCTGGTAGGAGGCAATGCTTTCTTTCAAAAGATTCTCCTTCCATGGAATGATAAAATGCTGAGGCTTTTTTTTTTTTGTACAGAGCCTATATTTAGTGCAATAAGTTTAAAAAATCTGCTCTGAAATATTTACTTTACATTAACAAAAATAGCTTTTTTTAAAAAAATTGTAACAAAAAGGAGTTATCGCATAAACAGATCATGAATTATTCTTAGCAAATTACACTTTTTTTTTTTCTTAAAGCATTCACCATTACAATAAGCAGAACAATGAAATATTAGCCATTCATATCTGGTAAGCTTCAGGAATTAAAAAACCCCCCAAAACCCAAAACCCATCCCCAAACACAAAGAACGTTCAACACTTGAGGATCAAAACATTAACCAATTCTTCAGTTAAACATTGTGGAATTCTGGATACTTAATGAATTGCCAAGGAGAGGAGCACCTGCCAGTATGTCTTCAGATTTTATAGCAAGCATTTGAATAAAATGGCCATTTAGCCCTAAGCCATTGAAGTTCCTCTGAAGCAGAAGCCCAAGTACCGGAATTTTCAATGCTTTGTGTTTCATGTTTCTCTCCCTTTTTTATTCCTTCCAGCATTACTTCGTCTGCAAACCTATACACAGAAACTTAAAGGCTAAACTTGCTGGGTACCCCAGCTTCCTTTCAAATCAGGCACACAAATGTGTGGAGGATGCTACTAACGTCAAAATGAAAGAAAGACAAAATATAAGAGAAAAGTTTGCATAAGAAAGATTATCTACCCTTTCCTTTTTTACCTACTCTCTTATAGAAGCATTAGGGTAAACTACAAATACCTGAGGAGTTGGTTACTTTTTAATGTTGGCTGACAAATGCATGAACTGTTACGAAAATTCCCATATTGGGTCCACTTGTATGTTTCTAAAAGGAAAATGACATGGCTTCTTTGATTGGGGAAAACTGAATGGAGTAACTCCTTATTTACCTGAAAGCATATGCCTAGTCTCATCCCACTAGGACTTATGCATCAGTAAAATAAGGTCTTGATTTTATGCACACATCAGGGAAATCACCCCTGAATAAACTTTAGACAGAGAATTCGGTACAATAATTTTACCTAATTTAAATAACTAAAGTTAAAATCTCCTCTAAGTTATTAAAAATGTTAATCAGATATGAATCTTAACATTTCCATTAAGACAATTACAATTGAAAACATTAAATGACGGCAGTTGCCTTGTAAAAGCCACCCGTATGAAAGGAGTACATGTTTGACAAAAATAAGCATAAAAAAGGTATTAAATCCCTGTTCCTGTTCTCTGATTTTGGCTGATTATGTGTGTGTGTGTATATACATATACATATATATACACACATACATATACATATATACACACACCCACACACACAAATACATAGTTATGTGTATATATTGTTTTGGAATGTCAATGGGTTCCATAACGGTCGGCTAGGTTCAAGCAGAACTTGCTCCCGAAGCCTAGAAAACAAAGTCATACAGAGTATAATCTTAGACAATTACCATTAAAAGGAGATCATGAATGATGTTACAAATACACAGATGGTCACAAACAGTAATAAAGAAAAATGGATTGAGAATCCTTCTCCCCCAAACCTAAATTCCAGGGGCTGAAATTCCTGTGATTATTGAAAGTCACACTTCCCTCTGGGTCATCTTTGAGATATGCAGAGAATTCATCTCTAGTCTATGTTGCTATAGTGCCCAGATTTTTTCCTCCATTTTCTCTGTAAGTTTTTCCTGTATGATAGCGAGCAGGTTGCCAGATGTCTCTTTCTTAAACCTCTACATCACATTTGGTAAATTTTTCTAAAATAATTTTCAAAGATTTAAGGAAAGACCTTACAAACCTTCAAAGTTTCCTTAACGAGTGAGGCTCTCTCAAAAAAAAAAAAGTCTAAGAGGAAAACTGGAAGTACTTAGTTTAGTTTAGTGATGCCCTGTCAAATGTAAAAATTTAAACCTCATTTTTCTGAACATTATTTTACAGACTTAAAAAAAACTCATATTAAACTATCCCATTAAGGAGACAGACAGTGAACTCGAACAGTAGTGTTTCTACAGATGCAGCAAGATAGTTATGACACTCTGTTAACAGAACTTTCACCTATGGGAATAACATGTGAATTAAACTAAGCAAACACAAATAAGCAATCGTAAATTCTACCAACCCCCAAACTTTAGGAGGGAGTTTCTCAGGTACTTCTTTAGGGACACACACAAGATGGTGGTGGTATTACGGGTCAACTCTTAACATGCATACTTCGAAAGAGAGCAGATTTAGAGGTACTGATATGCTTGAAAGATTTAACTATCCTGTGAGCAACAATTCACACATCTCTCATGGGGACTTTCTGAACCACTTAAAACGTTGTTCTTAGAGATCAAATGCTACAATGTCCAAAGGACCAGAAAAACAATGCACACAGAAGATGTATTTTGGGACACGGCAGAGGGCTTTGCCATTAATCTGCAAGCAACGAACAACATAAAATAAAAGGAAAAGTGGAATGAAGATTTTAATGTGGTGTTTGAATTAAGGGACATTAATTTAAAGCTGAAAGTAATATTAGGGGGAAAAAATTTCTACATTTTTGGCTTCTGATAGAATGCCACATAACCTAGGCAATTCTCCTACTATTAATACCTATGAATCAGGGGTTTAGGTAAGAGAAGGTATATTTGCATTCTGGGCTACCACAATTCAGCTATCTTTCCCTCAAGAATAACACAGAAATACATGCCAATTCATGGTCAAAGTAGCTAGTCCTAAACCTCTAATTATTTCTCCCTTTCTTTAAATGCTTGTTACTGAAGAGTGATTTAATGTACGCTTCAACCACTGGAAAGACAGAAAACGGGGGGAAGGGTGGTTTACATTTTAAGATTTTATATGTCTTTTAAAAGTTTTAGGTTTGAAACCTTATTTTCTGAACAATTAGGACAACCAAGCAGTGGCAAGAAGGAAACCTTCCTCATTTTTCCAGGCTATCTTAGGGTTGGCAGAATTTTCACTGTGGTCCCCCTCAGCCCACATGAAGTAAGAGGGATGCAGAAAGAAAGGGTAGGGAGGCAAGGAACCTGACAGGAGGGATTGGTGATTAGCACCCCTTCCCTGTTCATCCAGTGCTGTCTGATGCACACTTAAAAATAAGAGTTACATGGCCATTCTACATGCTCTTACTTATGATTAGAGTGATCTGTGCCTTGGTAATATAAACATTGAAGTTTTGACTTTATCATCATCAATGCTATTAAGAGCAACACCAAAATAGGCACTGGATGGGGTTACAGAGAAGAGTTTATATCTAAACATTCTGTTGAGGCTTTAATGTAGGTTGAATATGCAGTTATTTTGCATATACATATACCACCCCCCACCCCCGCAATGAAGCCATTTTCTTTATTCTTACATACTTAAATGGGCTTGTTTTATACTACATATTTCTTAAGTTGGACACCTATAAATCAAACCATTTATTAAAGTATAAAAGGAGAAAGAAAAGAGAGTCCTCACCTCTCCTTTTTTTGGACATTATATGCAAATAGAAGGCACATTGTTTTAAAATTAAGTGCTTAAGGATGTAGGCAATTATATAATATTCTGAAATAAACATGCTATTTAAGAATAATACACTTGTAATACAAGCAGTAATTAGACCAATATAGCTAAAGACATCTGTCATTATGCAGTGGTGAGAATATATATGGGAAAAGCTACTCAGGATTTTCTTATACTGGTTAACTTTAAGTTGTTTTTTTTCAAATGAAAGGAGAGTGGTTATATATATCACTGACCAGCGGCAATTTATCTTTCTCACAATTAAGCTGAGGCTGGAGAAGACCAGATTGTCTTATTGAGTGGGAATGTGGGTGTTGACGGAAACAGCCTTGTTTGCTACTGAAAAATAGCTTAAGAAAGAAAGAAAGTACAATCCAGGCAACAGAAGAAAAAGTCAGCAAACGGGAAAAGACAGCAACATAAACAAACCAATATTAAAAGAAGGGGGGAATATGAATTTCAGCAAGTTGAAAGGAATTGCTATCATCACTTCTAAAGTAAGCATCAAACCGTCAGTTCAAGTGCACAACCAAATGTTCAGTCCCATGAAAACTAAACGCTGACAGTTAAAAAGAAAAAAATGGAAACTGCAAGTTCACCTCAGGGACAAAAATATCCCCTGCCCTGCCATGAACACTGTTCCTTTCAGCTTACTTTTACAGAAGGTGGTCTCAGTTGTGACAAGAATTCTGCCATCCAAGTGATGGGTAAACACACAAACAGAAAGAGCAGCACGTCCTGCGTGACACAGATCACAAAAGCTTCTCCTGAAGAAGTGCAGTCAGTGAAGAGAGAGAGAGAGAGGAAGTGAAAGTGAAATTCTTGGAGGGCGGCCACCTCCTCATCTCCACCTACCATAGGTTTTAGCTCTCTGGCATCAGCAACGCCTCCCTTACCAGCTTCTTTCATTGCTTTCCTACTGTTTTCCACAAACTCCTGCAAAACAGACACCAAATTACATAAATTCTTAGGTCCTTTCAGACTTCAGTTGGTAGATGATTTCTAAAGAATATTTACATTTTTGACTCAGTAATGGTAAATGGAAGGCCTAAAAACATAGCAATAAGTAATATTTGGTACCACACACAAGAGCAGCTAAATTTGTGGGGATGCAATCTGTTGATCTAAAATCTTTCTGCCCACCATTCCTTGTGACAATCTCACTTAGGCTCAAAGAGATGTTAGTTCTATCTGAAAGAGAAAATACCTTTCGTTTTTTAGAAAAGACTATTTTTCCACACTTAGAATATTGTTTTATTTGTTGTGTTACTTTTTCCATATCAAGGTTAAATGGAAAAGCAACAACATTTTACTCTATAAACCTCCTCTTTAAAATAACCCTAGGAGGTAAAAGAAAGCATTGATACTACTAAGTATAGTATACTGTTTTTACCAAGCCCTAAATAAGCTATTTGAAAAAAAAAAAAAAGTCTATTTGGCTTTGAAATTACTCCATAAAGCAGGAAGACAGGGAGTAACAACCAGAACCAGTGGATAGAACTAGTTAAAATGGGATTATGCCCTGAAGGAAACATTTCTATCCTGTAAAGTTTATGGAGCACTTCCTCGTTCAATATCCTCATCATTCTTATAGAGAAAACTAAAATAATAAAAACTATATTTTTTACTCTGCTTTCCTTCAGTGGCTTAAAAAACAAAAACAAACCTCTCCTCCTAAATGCCTTAATCACACGGGAGATGATGCTTCTAGGTCAAATTCCATTATGAAAATAATCAGGATTATAATTAAGATTATGAAAATGTCCAAAATGTAGCTGGTAATGTTCTTAGTAAAAGAGATAATGAGTACCAAATAGGTCAGTTGAATCACTTGGAATTTCCGAGATTGAAAAAAAATAAAAGAATCTAGCTTATTTATTAATACATTTATTTTAGATTTAACTAGATAAACCATGTTTCTGGAAGATGGTTTGTTATTTCAAGGTCTAATGTTTAATCTTAAATATTATTCATTCTTGAGACAGGAACATTTTACAGCTTTATTAAAACACATCTTTAATTGGGCAGCATTTGACAGTGATACTAGTATTTAAACCATTTTAGAATGGTTTCTAAATTTTTTTAAAAATTTAATTGAGGTTCTAATATAGGGAGGCTGCAGAGGCTACGTAACTATAAAGAATCTGAATATAATATCTGTGTAAAGGTTCAGATCTTGACTAATGGAAAACAATACCATCTACCAGTCATGGGTCTGATAATCTGTATTTATTACAAAACTCCTTCAGTTTGGCCTGGAATACTTAGGATAATGAGTTTTAACAGGGCTGACAGCAATATACTTGGAAAGGTGGTGGACGGAGAAATACAGATAGGCACTACAACCTGGGAAATAAAACTTTTGTCTTTGAGCTCTGATTCAGGAAAAGGCACTTAGAACACCAGCTGTCCAATGTTCCAGTTCAAGGGCTAAAAAAAGTCAATTCAAGTGTATCTAACTGGAGAGATGGAGAGAGCAGTATGGAATAGTGTGAACTCAGGACTATTAATGGGAAACTGCTCTAGCTATAGGTAGATTTGAAATGGTCTCATTCATGCCAAGAGGATCTTCTTCCTGGATTTCCCCAAGACTAACCTCATTCACAGGTACTGAAGGTTTAATTCTGAATTACTCAGTTTCACATAATGGGAATTAAATACAGAGAATAGTCTACAAAATATTTATATTAGCATTTTTATCCTTAAAGCAGTAGAGGGCATTTGAGGTACTTACCATCAGCACTTTATCCATATAAAATTCTCTGCCTGGGCTCCCATCATTGTATTTTGTATCAATGGCAAAACACAAGAATAATACATCCACTACCATTTCGTAAATGGACAGGAAGCAATGAGCGACTAGGAAAGCAAAGAGGCAGACGATGATCAGAGGCAGCACCCATACTGTGTAATCTTGCTGGTAGTTGAGCAGCATAATCCCAGCCAAACCTGTGCTGCAGACTATCAGCACCTAAAGCAGAGAGAACAAAGATCACATTTAATAACCTCCTGCAGAAAACCACTATTTCTTCATCATTTGCAGACATCACCATTTATAAATGATGGTTGCATGAGTCCATGCCACCGCAAATTAGAAAGCATAATCCATAAATACCCATATACATGTATATCATATAACATAAATATCATCCTTGTTGACACTAAAAATAATCAAGTTTTCCAAATGTTATGCTTGTTTCCTAAGACTTCACTTATTTAGCATCTGTGGCAATTTTTAAGATAAATGTATACATATATTAGAAAAAAAATTATACACACTGTTAGCACTCAGAAGAAAATTATTGACATTTCAGGGTATTGCTATGTATTTTTTCTAAGCACTTTTACATACATGAAAGTGTTATATAACCATATCATTAAAAGCTCTTAATTAATATTTATATATCATAAATGTTTCATAAATATGTATTCAGCTACATATTTACATTTTATGGGGGATTTAAAATTTATTTAACCACTCTTCTATACTTGGAGACATATTGTTTTCAGATATAAATAATGCTGCAACAAACACCTCTAAGAGCTTTTTCTTTGTTTCGTATTTTATTTCACATAGAATATGTGGTAAATTTAATATGATTTGCCATGAAGTGTTGATTTGGACTATTTGTGGAGAAAGAGGTTGCCAAACACACTTATGCTGTAAAAATAAAAGAGATAGCCATTTGCCTGCTGTCAAGAACCACCTACTCTGATGCTTCAACACTGTACATGCAGCACTTTAAATTTTCTGTGTTCCTTTTAATACTTTTTATTTCAGTTTTTCAGTAACTCTATAAATGGCTTATGGCAAACATTATCACCCTCATTTTATAGATTGGGAAACATGCTTAGAGGGGCTAGCTGATCTGCCCAAGGCCACAGAGTAGAATAAAGAGCAGATATCATTCAACAAATGGTCTTATGATGCCAACACCAGTACTCTTTCCAGGTAAAAATTCAGCAAATACTTGGATACTGATATATCACTGTAACAGATTACACTGAATTCTAGCCACACTCTTCCCCAGCCCTTTACCTGGCCTAGCATCAAGCTTTAAATAACAAAGGAAAAGAAAGAGTCCTCTAGAAACACAGCAGCCTGTCCTTGTCCAGTGCCGAGGACAGGCAGACTGAGAATTCTTCTTTTGCCTTTCCCTCACTATTTATCAACACCAAAACATCTCTCATTCACCATTATCTTAACCAGGAATTATAATGCATCAGAGGATGTATTGGTTAAGCTATAAATTGATCCCTCTCTCAGATGATTTTAGGGAGCAAATCTGGGTCTGCTCCCCTCCCATCATTTTTTGTGGCAATATACCTATGAATCTTCTCTCACAGTGACTTATTTTCTGGGGTGATGTCCACAAATAGCTAATTAGGTCCATTTTTTCCCCCCTCTTCTGTTTCAATTTTAGGATGAGTTATTTCTTATATTCTTCTTCAATGTTTTTACATCCACCCTATGGGAGAACTCAGCTGCTTTACACTCTCTCTATGGCACTAAAAGTTAAACCACATTTGAAATGTTAAAGTCAATTATAGGCAGAAGATGTGGCTCAGACAAGTAGATGCTGAGACAAAAACTGTTAAGGTAGAACACTGTCACATGAGAACCAACTTCAAAAACTAGTGACATTAAGCTTAAAAAGTCAATTTAATAATTTACTCCCCAATTTAATTTAATAATTTAATAATTACTCCCCAGTATAATGAAAGGGTATCATGCACTCATTCAAGCAGAGGATACATTAGTGGTTCTCAAACTATTAGAGGGGCTGGAAATCCCTTGGGGAGTTTGTGAATAATGCAGATTCCTGGGTCCTGCCCCCAGAGAATCTGATTGGTTTGATTTAATATGAAGCTCAGCAATATTCATTTTCAAAGAACCCTCGGGTGATTCTTAGAAAGTCCACAGCCTATAAGGAGTACTGCTCTATATCACTGATCTCCATGGTAGAGTACACATAGCCCAGAGAAGGTTCAAGAGAATCACCTGGGACTTCTATTTGTATTTCTCATACATTTAAAATTTTACACTTTATAAAGCATATATTAGTGAAAGCTATACATATGTCATTAATAAATAAATGTAAATATATTGGGGAAATGTGCTCAAATTATATTTTGGTAGTAGGATGTTTGATTTTAAAGGTTTAGACACTCTTGTTATAAAGGATAAATTATTTGTGATGCAGTAGAAGAGATTCATACACAGGGTAGGATGTGTGAAGCAGGAAGAAAAGGATGCTGGTTTTGGAGTCAGAAAGATGTAGGACGGAATCAGAGTTAGAACTTCTGAGTTTTGTGACTCTAAGCAAGTTCACTTAACTTTTCTGAGATTGTTTTTCCATCTTTAAGAGAGACACAATAGGACATACTTCCCGTAATTGTTAAAATAAGCATTCTGAAAGCATTTAACATAGTGACTGGCAAACTTAGCTTCTTTCTTTCTTTGTTTCTTTTTTTTTGTCATCATAAATCTTGCATTTATGATGCCCTTTTCCCCCATGGAACCCATGTTTTGAAAAGATTTTGTTTACCAACAAAATAGCATCAACAAATAACTCATTTTCATTTTTTAATAATTGAAGCCAGATTAAATTGTCAGCTAGAACATCTAATTGTCATAAAAAGTATTATCAAATAGAGGTAAAATAATTTCAAACAGAAGCAAAGAAACAAGATTTGGGGGATTTTTTTGGTATAGTTTTATTGGCAATAAATATGCAGTATGCAATATTTATTAGACTTAAAATGCAATACCTATTAGACTTAAAAATGTTTATAAAGCTTCTAAATCACTATTCTTAATCTTTGAGGACCCTGTAGGCCAGTGATCACAGGTCACAAGCCACTAAACTAGAGGAGCTAAGGTCTCTTCCAAATCTAATTTACCATATTCCATAAAATCATTGGGGCTTCATAGAAATGGAACATATGACACTGTCTTTTGTTTTCTTTATAAAATCAAGGTTTTGAAAATTAAATTAAAAATTTTGAGACATTATGAATTCACGTGCAGTTATAAAAAGTAACAGAACGATTCCATGTACCCATTACCCAGTTCCCTTCAATCATAACACCTTGCAAAATTATAGTACAAAGTCACAACCCAGATATTCATACTGATACGACAAAGATACAGAACATTTCCATCACCACAAGCATCCTTCGCTTTAACCTTTTATAGATATTCCTACTTCCCCCCTCCCCTATCACTAACTGGGTGACCACATATATGGTCTCCATTTCTATTGATATAATATTGTCATTTCAAGAATGTTATATAAATGGAATCATACAGCACTTAATCTTATGGGATTGGCCTTTTTCACTCAGCATAATTCCCTCAAGATTCATCCAAGTTGTTCCATGTACTAGTAGTTTGTTCCTGACACTTTCATAATGTTTATTATGATCTACCTAGTTGAACTATCTGATCAAAAACTATTTCTGCATACTAGTAGCCATTAATTTTATTAATTGTAATGAAAGAAACTCTTTAAAAGATTTATTGTATTCTGTGATAAGAACTATATTTTTGGAAAAGGAAAACAAGAATTTATCTTAGTATGTTGGAAACCCAGAAGTCTTTTTCCTCTTATCGTTCTCCTTTTGTGATTTCTCAATTTAAAAAGTGTTTACCTTTCATGGTTTTAAAAGTCTTGTTTTTACAACATTAGAAATATTATGTTATTCAAAATTATATTTTTCTGGAAAGCAACTTGGAAATATGTATCAAAAATCCTATTATGTATTTGAACTCATTAATTCCACTTCTAGGATTCTGGCCTCAGGAAATAAGTATTAATGTGGGCGAGTACTGGTATACAAAAGTTTCACTTTATAATAGTAAAAAATTGAGAAAAGTTCAACTGTAAAAAAACCAAAAAAACCCAGAGGCTTTGTTAAATAAATGATACAACAACTATATAGACATTTTTAATAAAATGAGAAATGCTCATGATATAACACGAAGTGAAAAAAGGGATACAAAACTTCCTTTTCTACCAGATTTTAAATTCTCTTTATTGACTAGTATATAAGCAGCACCCAGAATAGCCCCTAGTGTGGAGAAAAGGGAACACTCTTGCACTGCTGGTGGGAATGTGAATTGGTTCAGCCACTATGGAGAACAGTATGGAGGTTCCTTAAAAAACTACAAATAGAACTATCATATGACCCAGCAATCCCACTACTGGGCATATACCCTGAGGAAACCAAAATTCAAAAAGAGTCATGTACCAAAATGTTCATTGCAGCTCTATTTACAATAGCCCAGAGATGGAAACAACCTAAGTGCCCATTGTCGGATGAATGGATAAAGAAGATGTGGCACATATATACAATGGAATATTACTCAGCCATAAAAAGAAACGAAATTGAGCTATTTGTAATGAGGTGGATAGATCTAGAGTCTGTCATACAGAGTGAAGTAAGTCAGAAAGAGAAGGACAAATACCGTATGCTAACACATATATATGGAATTAAGGAAAAAAAAATGTTATGAAGAACCTAGGGGTAAAACAGGAATAAAGACAGAGACCTACTGGAGAACAGACTTGAGGATATGGGGAGGGGGAAGGGTGAGGTGTGTTAGGGCGAGAGAGAGACATGGACATATATATACTAACAAACGTAAGGTAGATAGCCAGTGGGAAGCAGCCGCATGGCACAGGGAAAACAGCTCAGTTCTTTGTGGCTGTCTGGAGGGGTGGGATAGGGAGGGTGGGAGGGAGGGAGACAAAGAGGGAAGAGATATGGGAACATATGTATATGTATAACTGATTCACTCTGTTATAAAGCAGAAACTAACACACCATTGTAAAGCAATTATACCCCAATAAAGATGTTAAAAAAATAAAAAATAAAAAATAAATAAATTCTCTTTATTGACTAGTATATAAGCAGCACCCAGAATAGCCCCTAGTACATTACCAGTAGGCACTTTATAAATATTTGTTGAATGACTAAAAGGTTAGGATAAACCTAAAGAAAAAATTTTGACAGGTCATTAGGTTGTTGAAAAACTCAAAGCCAATTTTAAAACACTGTATTTTATCTTGTATATATTTTTCCATTATAAGAGAAATGCATACTTAATATAGAAACTTTATCATATCAAGTTTATCAACTTTATCAAAGTTTCTATCATATCATAGAAACTTTACCATTATATGATAAAGTGGGGGTAGGTGCTTGGAATCACTCATATTTTCAATATCCCATAGCAATCGTGATTAAAAATATTTTGAGAAATTAATTTTCTTTCTCTTTCTTACACACATTTTTATGCACATTTTAAAATGGTTCTGTGATGGTCTAGTAGTTTTACTCAGCTTTTCCACTTATTATACACATTATCACATTATAAACTCAATAAAAAACATGGTTTAGGGAATTCCTTGGTTGTCCAGTGGTTAGGACTTGGCGTTTTCACTGCCATGGGCCCGGGTTCAATCCCTGGTTGGGGAACTGAGATCCTACAAGCCACACGGCGTGGCCAAAAAAATTTAAAAAGTTAAAAAAATAAAATAATAAAACAGGGTTTAAGAGGTGAATAGTCTGTTGATTATTATTTCCAAACTTTACTGTCAGGCAGTAGATTGTTTACAATTAGTCACTACTATAAGTAATGCTGTATTTAGAATTATCTCCAGTAGTTTACCATCATTAGAATCAAAAGGCTTTAGGGGAAAAAAAAAAAGGCCCAGGGACAAAATTAATGTCAGTTGAGGCAATTATAGCACACAGTGATTAAAAACTTTGAAGTCAGACAGATCTGAGTCTGAACTCCAGCTCTGCCACATTCGAGTTTTCTAAATTTGGACAACCTACTTAGCTCTCTAAACTTTGGTTTCCTTTGCTGTGAAATGAAGATAATAGTAGTAGGTCTCCTTACAGGGGAGGACCAAATATAACACTTCACATAAAGCACTGCCCTCAGTACCTGGTACTCAGCAAGAATCTCAATCAGAGTTACTAAAATTATCATCATGATCAAATGTTGCCACTTGGTATAATTTTCTCCCTTATTCTTTATATGTCTTCTTATTTCTCTTTTATTTTAATTGCTCTGCAATATATATGTTTTTATTTTAAGTTGCTTCATATCTTTCTTAGCAGTATGGGTCAATTATAAATACAGAAAAAATGAACAAAAAATCTGAAGCCTTCCTGAGTTAGTCATATAGCACATAAATAATAGCAATGGTTACTGACAGGGTCAGACCTGTACTCATTCGTTAACATGAATTAACTCATTCAAATTTTACTATAAAAATTTTCCTCTTATTGTTAAAACATGACAAAAACAAATCCAGGAGTCATAATGTATGTTTAATTACAAATTTTCAAAATAACTATCTGTATGGTTTAATAACTCTTTTTAGATGACAATTGCCTGAGAACTTAAAACTACATTACACAGTGCCAGTCAATGCCTTTCTACATCAAATATTTAATTCCCTTTCAAAAACATTTTATAGGTACAGTGGTTGGAGTAACTTAACTGTAAGAGAATAGCATTTGATGGAACAGTGGCCATCATGATAATGAGTAATTATGAAGATTATCAAAGTAATACAAAAAATGTATATGATAGAATATGAAGTGAAAATAGCAGAAGAAATAGCTATGTATACCAGGATTGTTATACTATAGAAATATAAGCCTGTGAAAAAACACTGGGAGGGAATATAAAAATAAGTTATTAGGTTATAGAGGTGGTGCCGTTTTCTTAACTCAATTTTTCAAATTTTCTGAGTATTTTATGGTTTGAAATATAGATACAAAGATAAAGTGAGTCCTCAAGTATAATGTTATCTAATATTTTGCAGATTTTAACAGCACAGAATAGAAAAACACTTTTGAGGACAGTTAGGTCTCATTCCCTAACAGCTCTATTTTAAGGGGTTTATATATAGTAATGATGACTGCTAATATTCATCAAGAACTTGAAATGTATCAAGCACTATCTTAGGTACCCTACAAGTATTAATCAGTCTAACCCTCACAGTTCTAGGGGTTTGGCACTATTATTACCCCAATTTCACAAATGGACAAACCGAGGCACAGAGTGGTTATATACCCTGCCTCAGGTCACACAGCTAGTCAGGCCAGGATTTAAATCCAGGCAGTCAGCCTCCAGATGCAGTGCCCCTAACCATGACATGGACTGTTTCTTAATTCAAAATATGTAATATGGGCAAATTACTTAACTGCTCTGTGCCTCAGTTTCCCCACATCTATAACATGAAGATAATAACAATACTTCCTTTACAAATTTATTATGAGGATTAAATGAGCACAATACATGTAAAGTACTTAGAACAGTGCTTGACACATATTAAGGGTTTTGTAAGTGCCTGCTGTATATTATGTGACTTTTAGTTTTTTTGTGGGCTACATATATTTTTGACATTAAAGAGCAACTATACGCATATGCAAAAATTTACTGTCTGTCTCAGATAATATACGTGGTCTTATTACCTTGCCTAGGAATAACATGAAATCCCCCACTGTGTTGATGGCAGCTACTCGCAAAGCATTCTCCACGAGAATGACAAAGGCATCCTTCGCTGAGGTGCAGAAGTTGGTGCTGTTGATAGCTGTGGCTGTGTATGCATTCTGGACAAAAGCAAAAACAATTTTTCATCAGTAAATGTAATCTTTAAGATTTAAACCAAACAAAGTTAAAGCATAGCTTGTAAAACTATTTCACAGTTAAACCCATGGCTTTGGTGAGGTACAGATTTAGATTAAGCACAAGGAAATATGAGACATTAAAAAAAAAACCTGATAAGGTATCGAGAGCTTCTCATTTGGCCTAGTTTAGGTCCTTTAAAAACATTGATATTTATTAAAACACACATAAACCTTTCCAATATCCATTAACTTCTTCCATGTATTAGTAAATCAAACCATAATTTAAACTTTCCTAGATATCTTGGGTTCATTACCATGCATATCAGTGATGCATTATTACCACTTCAGTGATGCTTTAAAAGCTGCACACACACACACACACACACACACACACACACACAAAGGCATCAGATTGCTGTGCTGCTTTATCTGGAACACCTCTTCCTTGGTACTTTCTTCTATGCTGTCTTATCTCATAGGTGTTGCAACAGACAGCTGTTTGCTGCCGATCTCATACCCCTCCCTCCTGGGGCAGAATCCTAAATTCACTTTAAGAAAACAGACCTTCCCCATTCTCTTGGAGTCTGAGTGAGACTGACACTACCTCCAGCTCTTGGGGTGGGCCTTGGTTGATGTAAGCCAATCAATATGTTCTACCTACAACGACGGATTCAGGGATTGGTACATAAACTAATCAGAGCCTATGAAAGTAAAAGATGTTCTCTGGGGCTGCCGGAGGAAAAAAAGAAGTTTCCCTTCTCTTCCATAGGTGCTCCTGACAGAACAGCTCTCTCATTTTTCTGGACAGCAAGGTGTGAGGGTACGAATTGCCATGGCTGTTTTGCCGACATAATGGAAGTCAGAACAGAGAGAGGAACCAGGTACTCGCATTGGGTGACAATGTTTGCATGATTAGGAACTAGCCAGATTCTGGACTTCTTAGTTACTGAAGCTAATAAATTGCTAAGAATCTCTACCTTCTTCTCTCTCCCCCACCCCCTTCTCACTCTTGCTCTTTTTTAGGCCAGACTGAGTTGGTTTTCTGTCCCTTGTAGTACTGAGTCCCCAGCTGACATACTTTTATTAAGTCATACCTGCTTCTGCTGCCCCATGTTTTCCTTGACCACTCAGACTTTTTCCTTCTTTTTTACACTGCATTCTAGAACAGCATTGGCATTTTCGGAGAAATGTGAATAAGTAACATAACATTAAATATGTCTGAGTCTTAGAAGGGAACGTATACATACTTTGTAACTAAAATTTACGGTTCTAACCAAGAGGGAGGGAACCCAGCACGACCCATCAACAGTCAAGAGGATTAAAGTTTTACTGAGCTCTGCCCACCACAGCAACAGTCAGCTCTGCCCACCACCAGTCCCTCCCATCAGGAAACTTACACAAGCCTCTTAAATAGCCTCATCCACCAGAGGGCAGACAGCAGAAGCAAGAGCTACAATCCTGTGGCCTGAGGAACAAAAACCACATTCACAGAAAGATAGACAAGATGAAAAGGCAGATGGCTATGTACCAGATGAAGGAACAAGATAAAACTCCAGAAAAACAACTAAATGAAGTGAAGATAGGCAACCTTCCAGAAAAACAATTCAGAATAACGATAGTGAAGATGATCCACGACCTCGGACACAGAATGGAGGCAAAGATCGAGAAGATGCAAGAAATGCTTAACAAATACCTAGAAGAATTAAAGAACAAACAAACAGAGATGAACAATACACTAATTGAAATGAAAACTACACTACAAGGAATCAATAGCAGAATAACTGCGGCAGAAGAATGGATAAGTGACCTGGAAGACAGAATGGTGGAATTCACTGCTGTGGAACAGAATAAAAAAAAAGAATGAAAAGAAATGAAGACAGCCTAAGAGACCTCTGGGACAACATTAAACGCAACAACATTCGCACTATAAGGGTCCCAGAGGAGAAGAGACAGAGAAAGGACCAGAGAAAATATTTGAAGAGATTATAGTCGAAAATTTCCCTAACATGGGAAAGGAAATAGCCACCCAAGTCCAGGAAGAACAGCGAGTCCCATACAGGACAAACCCAAGGAGAAACACACCGAGACACATAGTAATCAAATTGGCAAAAATTAAAGACAGAGAAAAATTATTGAAAGCAATAAGGGACAAACAACAAACAACATACAAGGGAACTCCCATAAGGTTAACAGCTGATTTCTCAGCAGAAGCTCTACAAGCCAGAAGGGAGTGGCATGATATAATTAAAGTGATGAAAGGGAAGAACCTACAACCAAGATTACTCTACCCGGCAAGGATCTCATTCAGATTCGGTGGAGAAATCAAAAGCTTCACACAAGCAAAAGCTAAGAGAATTCAGCACCACCAAACCAGCTCTACAACAAATGCCAAAGAAACTTCTCTAAGTGGGAAACACAAGAGAAGAAAGGGACCTACAAAAACAAACCCAAAACAATTAATCAAATGGTCATAGGAACATACATATCGATAATTACCTTAAACGTGAATGGATTAAATGCTGCAACCAAAAGACACAGGCTCGCTGAATGGATATGAAAAAAAGACCCATATATATGCTGTGTACAAGAGACCCACTTCAGACCTAGGGACACATACAGACTGAAAGTGAGGGGATGGAAGAAGATATTCCATGCAAATGGAAATCAAAAGAAAGCTAGAGTAGCAATACTCATATCAGATAAAATAGACTTTAAAATAAAGAATGTTACAAGAGACAAGGAAGGACACTACATAATGATCAAGGGATCAATCCAAGAAGAAGATATAACAATTATAAATAAATATGCACCCAACATAGGAGCATCTCAATATATAAGGCAACTGGTAACTGATCTAAAAGAGGAAATCGACAGTAACACAATAATAGTGGGGGACTTTAACACCACACTTACACCAATGGACAGATCATCCAAACAGAAAATTAATGAGGAAACACAAGGCTTAAATGACACAATAGACCAGAAGATTTAATTGATATTTATAGGACATTCCATCAGAAAACAGCAGATTACACTTTCTTCTCAAGTGTGCATGGAACATTCTCCAGGATCAATCACATCTTGGGTCACAAATCAAGCCTCAGTAAATTAAAAAAAACTGAAATCATCTCAAGCATCTTTTCTGACCACAGCGCTATGAGATTAGAAATTAATTATGGGGAAAAAAACGTAAAAAACACAAACACATGGAGGCTAAACAATACGTTACTAAATAACCAAGAGATCACTGAAGAAATCAGAAAGGAAATCAAAAAATACTTAGAGGCAAATGACAATGAAAACACAATGATCCAAAACCTATGGGATGCAGCAAAAGCAGTTCTAAGAGGGAAGTTTATAGCTATACAAGCCTACCTCAAGAAACAAGAAAAATCTCAAATAAACGATCAAAACTTACACCTAAAGGAACTAGAGAAAGAAGAACAAACAAAACCCAAAGTTAGCAGAAGGAAAGAAATCATAAAGTTCAGAGCAGAAATAAATGAAATAGAAACAAAGAAAACAATAGCAAAGATCAATAAAACTAAAAGCTGGTTCTTTGAGAAGTTAAACAAAATTGACAAACCATTAGCCAGACTCATTAAGAAAAAGAGGGAGAGGACTCAAATCAATAAGATTAGAAATGAAAACGGAGAAGTTACAACAGACACGGCAGAAATACAAAGCATCCTAAGAGAATACTATAAGCAACTCTGTGCCAACAAAATGGACAACCTGGAAGAAATGGACAAATTTTTAGAATGGTATAACCTTCCAAGACTGAACCAGGAAGATATAGGAAATATGAACAGACCAATCACAAGCAATGAAATTGAAACTGTGATTAAAAATCTTCCAGGGCTTCCCTGGTGGCGCAGTGGTTGAGAGTCTGCCTGCCGATGCAGGGGACACGGGTTCGTGCCCCAGTCCAGGAAGATCCCACATGCTGCGGAGCGGCTGGGCCCGTGAGCCATGGCCGCTGAGCCTGCGCTCCACAGTGGGAGAGCCCACAACAGTGAGAGGCCCGCGTACTGCAAAAAAAAAAAAAAATCTTCCAACAAACAAAAGTCCAGGACCAGATGGCTTCACAGGTGAATTCTACCAAACATTTAGAGAAGAGCTAACACCCACCCTTCTCAAACTCTTCCAAAAAATTAGTGGAAGGAACGCTCCCAAACTCATTCTATGAGGCCACCATCACCCTGACACCAAAACCAGACAAAGATACTACAAAAGAAAATTACAGACCAATATCACTGATGAACATAGATGTAAAAATACTCAACAAAATACTCGCAAACAATATCCAACAACACATTAAAAGGATCATACATTAAAAGGACCATGATCAAGTGGGATTTATCGCAGGGATGCAAGGATTCTTCAATATACGCAAATCAATCAATGTGATACACCACATTAACAAACTGAAGAATAAAAACCATATGATCATCTCAAGAGATGCAGAAAAAGCTTTCTACACAATTCAACACCCATGTATAATAAAAACTCTCCAGAAAGTGGGCATAGAGGGAACCTACCTCAAGATAATAAGGGCCATATACGACAAACCCACAGCAAACATCATTCTCAATGGTGAAAAATTTAAAGCATTTCCTCTAAGTTCAGGAACAAGACAAGGATGTCCACTCTCACCACTATTATTCAACATAGTTTTGGAAGTCCTAGTCACGGCAATCAGAGAAGAAACAGAAATAAAAGGAATACAGATTGGAAAAGAAGAAGTAAAATTGTCACTGTTTGCAGACATGATACTATACATAGTATAGATGCCACCAGAAAACTACTAGAGCTAATCAATGAATTTGGTAAAGTTGCAGGATACAAAATTAATGCACAGGAATCTCTTGCATTCCTATACACTAATGATGAAAAATCTGAAAGAGAAATTAAAGAAACACTCCCATTTACCACTGCAACAAAAAGAATAAAATACCTAGGAATAAACCTACCTACGGAGA